CATTAATATTTCATCTCATTTCTAATTGCATGCATTCCCAGCTTTTTGTGAATTACATTGTCACTGCTGCTTACTGGTCTCATGGTATTTTCTGATCAGAATCATTTTCCAGAAAAACACACAAAAACTCAATCATTCATCAATTACAAAAAATTTTAAGCTTTGTTTGTCATCTCTCTCCTTTTCTCTGTTTTTAGATTTGTTCATGTTATAAATGTTGGGATGTGTAATTTCTCTCCTTTCCTCTGTTTTTAGATTCTACTGTATTTAAATTTCTTCATATATTGTTAGGATGTTTAATCTCTGTTTTGAGGTTGAGTCAAATCGAAAGTCGCAATTAGATCTTTTTGTGGAAGATCTGGAGGTGTACTTTCTAACACTTTCTAAAAAAAAATATCAGAGAATCAATTTCCGAATAGTTCATGTATTTCATGGTGCAAATTTTATTTTTATTTTTCCGACAATCGAATATTTGAAGAGCTTTTGACGTTTGTAAGGCTGTTCTTCTATTTGTTGTACTTTCTAAGTATAAAAATCAGTACATACATACCAAATGGTTTTGTTCAACTGAAAAGATTGACATGGTAAATTTATTCAAGTAGTATAAAAACCTACATACGCCATCTTCTTTCATACAATTTTTGAAAAGTGTTCATTCATCCCAGTCTTCTTCAAAAATTAATGGACGAAGTTATACTAGTCGCATGGTTCAAAGGAGGCAACTTTCCTTTTCCCCGTCTCCCTGGTCCAGCTGCTGCTTCATTATCTGGTACTAGTAGCTTGTTCTATATGTTTGTGTAGATATGCATATAATATCTTATCTGCAAATGATTTTTTTTTTCCATCCCACAAATCATTCCTTCAGCTACAAAGTTCTATTTGATGACACTTGAAATGTTGGATGTGTACTTGCAGACTTGAGAAACTTTCCCATGTTTGGTGGTCAAAGCAACTTGTGTAGGCAACCATGCCCGAGGAGAGTTTACCATTGTATATGGATGTTTGTATTTCTACAAACAAATTGCGGCAAAGAAGGGGAAGGAAATGTTCTCAAGGTGGAGCTCTAGCAAGAGACCAGCATTTGGACAATGCGGTAAACAGATCTCAATCTAACATAACAAGCATCACTGCCCATTCATGATTAGGTAATCTTTCATCATAAAAGTCCTTTCCCAACGTAATAACTTGAAAACGTCATTTATGAGTTTCCTCCCCTTCTGATGTTCCTGTTTGTGCTCCTATTTGATACGATGCCATTTCCAATTCAAAAACTTTTCAGGTATGTTAAGAAAGTATTACACAACTAGATATTTATGATTCAAATTCAAAACAAAGCACAAATTGGATTCATATAAATCTACCTAATTGCCGTTCCATTGATTATAACATTTGATAATTGAATATGCATCTTTCAGTGTTGTCCCCTTTAAGTTTTTAGCGTTTCAATTAGTCTCTTTCATCTCTATTTTCTTGTACATACTTGTTGGTTGGAAAATAGTTTTCAGAAGCTACATGAGTTGGGGTTAACTAGAGAAATTAGTTTGTTCATATTCTAAGATGAATCTAACGATCCAATTCTTAATGTCTTGCACTTAGGAGTATCTTGTTGAGCTGAGATATGCATGAAAATGGAAAGCAATCGAGTTGAAATCCTCACTGGCTTTTCAAAATCTGATGAGGAA